AAAATCATTTTGAAGAACATATCAGCAGAGATTTAACTGGAGAATTGGATGAAGAATCTACTTCATTCATCTTTTCATTCATCTTATAGGCTTAGAGGTTGTGGCACAAAATCTTGTTATTATTATATTAATTGTATGTTATTATTATATTAATTAGTATAATAAATTTAATCTTAAGATATTAACCAGTTCGTTTTAAAAATATTCTACCAGATTCATATTTGACATAAAACATATGTTTACCGCTGGGTAACGGTAAATACCGAAGGTATAATTTTCGTAAACGCCTAATGAGATTTGCACAAAATTCAAAATTGACAGCTGTTTGAATTTTTTGAACAAATCTCATTGGTTCATTTGACGTTCACCAACTACGACAAACGAAGTTCTGAGAACGGGCCTTTAGCGTCCGTGACGTCTAGAAATCATAGGCGTAGGTAGCTACCATTGGACAGGGTGTGGCACTTGCCTCATATGAAGAAAGTATGTATGTATATTGAGTTGAGCCAACGCTTCAATACTGTATAACTTCATATTGCCAAAAAAAATCTGCAATATTTCTTATACCGTAAAGCTTCATTCGGAACCTCGCACTTAGTGGAATAAAATTAGTGGTTTCAATTATACTTTATGCTTTTTAGTTTACGATCAGGGGCGGATACAGAAATTTATTTTAGGAGGGCCCGGGATTTATTTTAGGAGGGGGCCCAAATAAAAAGTAATGCAGAACATGTTTTTAGAGCGCCATTTTTAACCCAAGAGCCTAATATTTAACCCAATCTATAGATTTTAGGGGGGTCTTGGCCCCAAAATCAATAGAATATCCTATCAACAACTTGCGGTATTCAATTGTATCCATAGAGAATGTCTAATATTTACCTTATAAAACAATAAACTATTGATTTCTAACCACAATTTCTCTTGACCGATGATAATCAAAGATCAAAATGACATTCTTCGCAAATTTTTAAGTCTAATCCTTTGAATAAAAGTCTAATCACTGGAAAAGTCAAAAGTCTCTTAACTTTTTCTACTAATTGAAAAAGACTACCACTAATTTTGAGGTTCTGAAAATGCTTATATTGAAATTAAAGCTTCATTCAGAACCTCGCAATTAGTGGAATAAATTAGTGGTGTCAATTAGCGTAGAAGTTTGTTCCTTTTATTTCAATGTAAGCATACAGAACGTCAAAATTAGTGATAGTCATTTTCAGTTAGTAGAAAAAGTTAACATACTTTTGACTTTTCCACTAATTATACTTCACGATTGACGAAGAATGTCTTTTTGGCCTCTGATTATCATCCGTCAAGAGAAATTGTGGTTAAAAATCAAAAGTTGATAGTTTTATAAGCTAAATATTAGGCTTTCTCCATGGATACAACTGACTATCGTAAGCTTTTGCTAGGATATGTTATTAATTTTAATTGTGTTTTTTAAACATTGTGAATGATCGTAAAAAGTAAAAAGTGTAATTGAAACCATTAATTTATTCCACTAATTGCGACGTTCTGAATCTTAAAGGAACAAACCAGTGGCGTATCGTATAGGGAACTAGGGAGAGGGGCAAACGCCCCCTCCGCCCCTAGGCGCACAGCGCCTCTGGCGCCCTTTGGAAAAAAAATAGAAAAACTAAATTTAACGCAAAAACAAACGGTGCCCTACCGTGCCCTTAGCTCTTCAAGATAAAAAAAATGACGTATATATTTCTCACATTTTATTTTTGTTTTTTTAATGTTTACTTATATTTAATAATTTAAATCTTAATGAAGTAGGCGTATACGTACGAAAGTTTTCATATGGGACTTGGAACTACGCTACCCCTAGACCATTAATTGTCTACAAATAAAAATACAATGGCTAGACATCACGTTGCGCCGTGCCGGCGCCGCCAAAGAAGAAGACACGATGGAAATAAATTCGGGGAATCACCGACCGAAATATAATCGATTATAATGATGAAGTGCTGAATAAAATTAATATATTGTCCAATCACTTGCAAAAGGTTAATATCAACTTATGTACAGCTGCTCATATAATTACTGCGGTAACTAAAGATCTCAAATCATTAAGAAGTGAAAAATATTTTGAAAATTTTAAAAAACAGGCTACTATTTTGGCAAATAAATGCAATACGTCAACATCATTTTCCACAAAAAGACAAAGAAGAATAAAAAAAAATTATGATGAAATCCAGAATGATTACCTACATCAAAATTCTGAAGATAATTTCAAGATAACAGTGTTTTATAGTACTTTAGACATTTTAACCGGTACTCTAGAGAATCGGTTTGAAGACTTCCTTAATATATGCCAAAAATTTAATTGTTTATTGGATATGGACATCAATGATGACAATTTAAAATGTCTTATGAATCTACAGATATTGTAACAAGCGGATGTTAAACCTTCTTTAGTTGACGAATATAAACATTTTTGCAGTTTATTAGAAGAAATTAATGCTGATGACAACAAACTTGCACCTGACTGACCTGACGAATATTTATCATTTTTAATTTTCAATGATCTAGAGTCTTCATATCCATCTTTATATGCATTACTGAGGATTTTTTACACTATAGCCGATAGCCACCAACAGTGCTGGTGCAGAACGATCTTTCAGTAGGTTAGGAAGAATTAATAATTACCAGAGGTGCACCAGCACACAAGATAGAACCAATTATTTATCACTTCTTAGTATTGAAGCAGACACAGCCCAGGATCTAAATATAGACGAAATAATTGATTCTTTTATATCGGTTAGAACAAGACGCTTGCATCTTTGAAATAACTGTTTTGTATACTAACTTTTTTAATATAAACAAATTTATAATTAAAAAAAATAAAAGTTTTCATGTAGTCTTTTAAAAAAAAAGTTTGTAATTTATTTGATCCTTTATTGATCATTGCGTCCCTTAAGGTCTTCGCCCCTCCGCCCTTTTATCCACGACACGCTACTGGAACAAACTTCTACGCTAATTAAAGCCACTAATTTAATCCGGGCAAACTGATTGGTGGAGTTTCGAATTTCCCGCGCGATTTGTTGCCATGCGCGTAACGATTCCCTATTGGCCAGTGCTATAAATTACTAGCGCCGATTTTATGCTCCTCCCTAGTAATAGCCAAAATATCGGCAAGTATTGAAATATCCAGTGACGGTATTGTTGCATTTTATACCTTTAACTATAGTGTGCGTTGTGCAGTTTATAACTAGTACACGCTTTCTAACAATTATTGCTATATTTAACAAATCACTAGACGAATTGTAGATAAAGTTCAACTAATGTTTATTGAAAAATACATAAATGCCTGAGTTAGCTACTTTTATGAAACACGATTACCTATTTTATGAACGAAATTAGCCGTGTTTTTGGAGAACTGCGTTGCCCCTACCGTTGCGACATTTTCCTAAAAATGATACATCCGACAACGCTGTAAAAACTGTGGATGACTAGACGTGAAACTTGGGATGTTTCCCTCCTCATTCCCTACGCCGGCTAGGGTTGGAGAACTGGAGGAATAGATCGATACAGCGATAAACTCATGTGGCGCCATCAAGCGGTCTAGGTCATCGGGTCTAGGTCAGAGACAGCCCCGCACGCAAGATCAAAGAACGTGCAATAGAGAAACGGCCATGAAAAGTTAAAAGATTATTGGAAAATGTTACATATTATGTTAGGAAAATGTTACAACATTATGTTCACCATGATTCCCTAGTTTTAGTTCAAAGCATTTTTAGAGCCCAAATAATCAGTTCAGTTTTAATAAGCTACACCACTGCTTATTAAATCAAAGGCCCTAGTATAAATAACAATATAATTGGAACCCTCTCAACTACCTTTCAAAGTAAAAATACCGTACCTATGATCGAAAAAAAAAACGGCGTCCAGTTGGCTGGGAAATGACGATCGATGACATTTCCCATATACCTACATTTACAATTTACATATAAAATGACCGCGATCTTCATTTCATAGCCATCGCTGACGCCGGTTTTTTTTCGATCATATGGTATATGCACGTATATGTATACCCATGTATACCTACAGATAATTGAATATTTGTATTTTTGTATAATTGAATATGTGTATTTTTTAGTAAAATGCATTCGAATTTAAGACCTACTAATTAGTCATGCATTTATTATGTTTATTTGCATTATGTTTTAAATATTTCAAAACATTTGAATAAAAAGATTTTCAAAACAAAACGCAAAAGGGTGAGTCAGTGGATTTTTCTATGGTTCAATACTTTTCCAAATATTGAATGGTTGAATAAAACTATAAATACTATAGACACTATCCAATCTAATCCATAGATCTAAAAATACCTAGTAAAACATCCAAAATATGATATATATATATATATATATATATATATATATATATATATATATATATATATATATATACATATATATTATATAGACAATGTCCTAGTAACTTTTTGAATGGGGCAATTAATAATAATAACGAGTCAAAATTTGTACATTTATCCCCCGAATACAGCTAGGTACAGTAAAGACAAACTATAAGAGCATTAAATAATTAAAACATCTAAAAATGTCGTTTATTTTGAACTTACTCAACTTCGTGAAACCAAAACGAATATATTTCGATTACAACCCTGACGTTGAATAAACCTTTCAAGATCAAGGTCATGTGGCAACGCCCATGGCCTGCCCTACGCCCCCACATCTAGTACCTGCGCCCTGCGCCTTGAATCTGAGTTACGCTCAATAAAAAGATTTAATTATTTTCACTGTGGAGGGTAACTGTACCTAATTTTTTACCCCGTAGAGGCCGTAGACGTATGGATTAGTAATAACCACCTAACTGAACAATAATCACATAAAAACTACTTTGTTTACTGTATTATAAGAAAAAGTAGAAAGAGTAATAATGCTTAAATTGCTATTTTATTCAAACAAAACAAGGCTACATAACCTCAATAAATAAACGTCGCAGATGGATCTCCAGAAATCGATAGAAAAACGACTTACCTCGGTCAAATTTCTTGCCCTCAGGATCGATATCTTTCACGTTGAATATATCTTCAAATAAGACGCCTGCCATTGTGTAAAATTAGAGAAAAGGAACCTAAAATACGAAGCACTTATATAAACTACAACCGGCACGAAGAATTAAAAAATTATTTGTATTTGACACTTTGACATATCACATTTGCGCAAGGGCAAGACGCAATTGACGTTTTTCTGACGTCACTAATTTTCCATACTTAGTTCATATTGATTTCTTCTTCTTTTAAAAGATTAAGGTAGGTATCCACGATGAAAATTTATCACGAAATTTTTGTGTCATGAGTCAAAAATTTCAGGTTTCACAATGGAAACACACTTGAAATGCATGAAATATTGTTAAAACTCTCATGACACAATATTTCATGATATATTTGTTTCATGAACAAGTTTCAACGTGTATACATGATATGCGTCGTGTTTCATTTGAAATATTTGTGTCACTTGCTGCACGTGAGTTATGGTGATGTACTTGAAATAAAATTTGGTTGGCGCGGCGGTGTATTTACAATTTTTCGGGTCTGATTATTATTTTTATTATTTTATTGTGAAAAATGGGTGAAGTTGTAAATGAGAAAAAAAGAAAAGCGTGTAGTGTTAACTGGTCTCGACAAATGACATTCAAATTAATTGAATTATACGAATCCCACTCGAATTTATGGGATTGCTCATTGGAGCAGTATAAAAACCGAAATGCTCGAAAAAACTCCATTGATACTATTTCAGAAGTTATGGGAATATCTGCTCAAGAGGTTAACGATAAAATTCATAGCCTTCGATGTCAATTTCAAAGCATAACTAGAAAATGGAAAAAAACAAAAAGCGGCCAAGCTGCAGGCGATAATTTTGTTGTGAAATGGGAGTTTTATCAGGCATTAAAATTCATAGACTTACCAACAAATGGTATGAATGAAAACGCAATTGATTCATTGGTAAGTATGTTTTTATTTATTATGTATAAAGTGTTTCAAATAATAGAGAAAGTCATACTAATGTACCGGGTGATCTTTTATATTATTTTCTGTCAATAAAAAACATTGAAGTCTATATATATTCATATTGCCACGGAACTTCACCTTCCTCTTGAAAATATTTCGTTAATTCTTTTTGTACTTCCTTGGTATAAAGATTTCCTCGAAGATTTCGATTCAGTTGCAGTGGCAGTAAGGCTTTAGTTTCTTGTCGCCATTCACCTGGTTGTATAGTCCCATTTTCGTGATTTTCAATATCAAATGTGCCATTAGGGGCGTAAAGGTTCTGAGAACGGGTCATTAAAAAATTATGTAAAACGCATATTGCCGACACTATAATGGAGACTTTTTCTGGTTCTAATTCAATTGGCTTTCGTAAAACACGAAACCTAGCTGAAGCAATTCCAAAACAATTTTCAATTATTCGTCTAGCACGAGACAGTCTGTAATTAAACACTCTTTGTCCACCATGCAAGTTTCTAAACGCGTAAGGTTTCATAATATATGGTTTCATGGCAAAAGCATCATCTGCTACAATAACAAAGGGAATGGCCTTATTCCGTCCTGGGAGTGGTCTAGGTTTTGGAATATTTAAACTATTATTTTCAAGTTTTGTTGCCAAAGAGCACGTGTTAAAAACTCCTCCATCGGAAATTCGGCCCATACTTCCTACGTTTATGTATAAAAATTTGTAATTTGCGTCAGCCAGTGCCATCAGAACAATGCTATGCGTGCCTTTGTAATTATAAAAGAGACTTCCACTGTGTTTAGGTGCTTTAATGGCGACGTGTTTGCCGTCCAGTGCACCTATGCACTGTGGGAAATTCCATTTTTCTTCAAACTGTCGTGCAATTTGTAGCCACTCTTGCTCAGAGCTTGGAACCTAGAAAAATAAATTAATATTAACATTAGCTAATATTAAGAGTATTATTATTTTATGACTATTTTTGTTTTTAGATTAATGAACCCGAAGCTGTAACCGAAAATTCAGAAAGTCGACACTCCCTTATAGCTGATGCAGATCTAGACAACGCTTCAGCTTCAAACATATCAGAAAATACATCGCTGTCAATGTCCGGTGATGAAACACCAAGTTCATCCAAAAAACAAACATTAAAGAAAAAGAGAGAGCAAGAGCAACAAGCTGTACTTGACCGCTGCCTTGGCGTTATGTCACACTCAGCCGACTCTTTTGAAATATTTGGGGATTATGTGGCAGACGAACTGCGAAGTATGAGTTCAAAAGCTGCAGACCTGGAGTCAAGGGCCAAGCGAGAAATACAGCGAATTGTCTTAAAAATGAACGATGATTACGACCTTAGATTACAGACAAATACAAATACGTCATTAGAGCAGAACATGAACAAAGAAAACATTATTTATGAGTCCCAATCGCAGAACCAAATTATTCATGTTGAGCCAGAACTTGCAAGATCTGATAACGAGCTTCAACAATATTACGAAAGCTTATCGCCTACTTACTTCAAAATGTAGAATAATACTTTAATAAAAATGTCTTATGCACTTACTTGTAGATATTCTTCTTTTAAAACATTGTAAATAGCAGAACACACTTCTGGTATAATTCGCGAAATAGTACATACAGGTATGCGAAACAAATACATTAAGGAATGGTAGCTGTCTCCTAAAAAATGTCTGATTCTTGAAACTGAAAATTAATGTTTTAATGTACATAGTACTTACCGGTAGCCAAAAATCGAAGAGTAATGGCTAGCCGCTCAGCTGCTGGAATTGAATTTCGCATATGTGTGTTTTGTTTCTCTATTACAAATTTTATTTTGTCCAGCAAATAACGAAAATCAGCGGCAGACATTCGAAGAAAGTTCTTGTAACATACCTCATCTTCCTGTTCTAGTTCTTTTAATAATATTTCCATTATATTCATGTTCTCTCTTCTTTTAATCCAATCTCTCACCCAATATCTATGAGACCTTTTCTTTTCTGTACAACGAGACTTAACAGCAAGGTAATAATAACAAGCTGCTGCCTTTCTTCTATCTTTTTTTGTTGGCATTGTTGAAATAAAAACACCTCACAACATAAATTTTCGTCTTCTCCAACTTGTGGCCATCACTTCTATTATTATAAACTGTATCATGCACAAAAACTAAATCACTGTGGAAATAGCAGTTTCACTTTACGTCGTGTCTCATGAACCAAAAATTTCAAACAATCGCGAGTGATGAAATTTTTACCTCCATGTGAAAACACACCACGAAACAAATGTTTCATGAAATAAAAATTTCATGACATTTTAACTTCATTGTGGACACCAAAGACATCTAAATATTTATTTAGATGTCTTTGGTGGACACCTACCTTTAAGGTTGAGTAGTGGAGTAGTGGTAGTAGAACGTAGTATATAGTTTGGTTAGAGGGTTAGATGTTAGAAAGGATGTTAGATTATTCCAGGACTATCCGGCCGGCTATTGTGCGCGTCGTGCGCGTTCAGGGCAGGGTTCGGTTCAAGTAGTTAATTAAGACGTAATTTACCTGATTAACTACGTGTAGTTTTTCTTCAAAAAACTACGTCTTTTCCCGATCATTAACTACATGAAAACTAAGTTAATAAACTATGTATTGATATTATGAATAATGTTGCTTTGTATGAGGGGTCTCTCTCTCTCAATAATATGATGTGTGAATATTATATTTAAAAGCCATATTTCTTCTGTTTTCTTAAATACATTGTATTTTCTAAAGCTTCAACTTATTATAACCTCAACTCACACCTTTGATATTTGAAAGTTACATACATAGGTTACATACTACATTAACTACATGTAATGTAGTTTATGTAGTTTTTAAAAGTAACATGTAGTTTTCCGAACCCTGGTTCAGGGAAGGTCAGCGGCTATAGCCGGAGTCTCATGCATCCGAAATCCGATGGTATGACATCCGAAATTTGAACTTATCGTGTGAAATAAAAAAAGCCTGTCACATACATCCGAAAGTTCGTTCCGAAATTTGACAGTTTTAACATTTTTCTGCTGCGCTGAATAGAGATTCATGTCATGTTTTATTGGAGAAACACTTATAAAAATAACTTCCTCGCCAAATATCCCGAAATTGCCCACTTCCCACTAAACTTGTTTTTAAAAACAAATGTTTTCAAAAAAAGTGAGGTTAAAAAACACACGATATCGTACAAAAGTTAAACAAAATTTAACTGTATACGACGTCGGATGATTAGTTAAAATTATCGGATAAAAATTGTTGTCAAAATATTTCGACCAATAGGAGCACCGTCGGATCGTCGTGTCATCGGATTTCGGATGCATGAGACTCCGGCTTTAGTCTGTGGCTGAGTAAGCGATTTCCCTAAACCGTCTATTTTTAGCAATTTTTACACACAAAAACGGCCAGCCGCTGAGCAAAAATGGAGCAAAATGCTGATACTCAGCGTTATTCCCCAAACGCGCATATTAATTTGCAGGGCTTATTTTCTTTACGTGGAAACCAAACCGCGGTCCTTTGTCAAATAATTAATGGCCGAGTATCGGTATACCCGAGTATCTATTCTTGACATCGTTCGCACTTTTGCGTATACGCATCATGTGTATTTCACTATTTATTATTTTTACTCCCTACTCATTCCCTACCTGAGTTTAAATCTTTGTATTATCTTTGGTAGCGAGCCATAGTAGCGAGTTGGGAAGGTTGGGAACACTGTCACTGACAGATGATAGATGTTTGACAAATGTGTCAGAACTGTCAGGACCTAAAATTGTTGTTTTGATGCTCAGATTTTATGTTTGTCAATTTAAAAAAGTCACAATTCCAAAATGGACATGCTGTAGGTATTTTGTAAATAAAACTTAAACTCTTTTAAATTCCACATCGACATATTACTAATTAGCCATGGCATCATTACCACCAAGAAGAAATCCAACTCCAACAAAAATCTCGAAACAGAATCTTACTCCATTTCAAATATTATTGCAAATGGGTTTTCCTAAACACAGAGCGTAAGTGCGACATTGTGTAGTATTTTTTAACTAACACAGTCTTGGATGTGTGCTAGCTCTTAACATATTTTTAGAGAAAAAGCCTTAGCTGCTACGGGCCACAGAGGAGTACAGCTGGCCTCGGACTGGCTTTTAGCTCACGTAAATGATCCACTTCTAGATGATAATTCACCTAGAGAATACATCCTTTACGTTTGTCCAACGGGGACGTTCCTCAACCAATTACAGTCGTTTTGGTTAAAGTCATTTAATTTGTGTGGATGGAATGGAGCCCACAATTTCACACCTCACATTACCTTAGTCTCATTTTTTAAAGCCCCTGACGAGGACGCTCTCCATCTTGCGCTGAGTCTTAAGACAGTCATGGAACGACAGGGAGCTGTACTAAATGAATCTCTTAAACTAGAAAGTTACATGTCGCCAAACTTTATGGGCTTTTTTGTAGCTGAGGAGCATGCAGATTACTTAAAGAGAATTGCTATGCAGTATGTTAAGGAAGTATCAAATGCTAGTGAGTATTTGGATAGTTATAATGCTCTTTTTGGGTGAGAGGGATGAAGAATATGTTTAAGTGACCAGTCATATTCTTATTTACAGTTATTAGTGACACTTATGAGCAGTTTGATGCTCTGACTGCTTGTTTTCCCTGGTGTACGACCACTACGGCTCGCTGTATCCCAAGGGGCAGCAGATGTAAGACTTAATTCAAACCCACACAGTGCTGCTTTTGTTTTTACTGCTTTCTTATTCTTTGCATCTTTTAATTATCCATGTTTTTACATTGCTTTTTATGGTTTTATATGACTGCCCTTAATATTTTTTCATGAAGAATAATTTTCTTGTTTTTTTTTAGCTATCAATTTGGAGCCTCATGTAAAATCACTACATCTTACACTGGCCTATCAGTTTCCTAATTCACAATATCAACAGCTAAAGGCTCTTGTAGAGGAGTTAGATTCTAATGTTTCGTGCAACTGGGAGCTGAGGTTGTATTCAAGAGACCCTAGAATTACTGGCAAGCAAGTATACAAGGTAATGGTCCTTTGAATTAATTTTTTAGATTAATAATTATAAACGTCTGTACTGTAAAGTGCATACATTGATATATAAATAAAATATACATTAATACAATATATCTACATAAGAGGATGTGGCGGGGCGAAGTTTAAGCATGGCCATTCTTCCACTTAACCAAAGTTTACATTTTAAGCAACCAGAACCCCATACTTACAACTAATGACTAAAGAATACAAGGACTTAAAATAACACCCGAGACCAAATTGTTACCATATTTCCAAACAGTCCCGTGGCACATATTTTTCTTAACATAGCTGCTTGAGGCTTGAAGAGATACTTCTACAGGTCCGGTATTGTAAGATCTAGGCATAGCAATTAATTACATGCATTGGAATGAAACGCCTATAAAAAGTTAGTAGCTTACACAGAGAGGGACCACAACTTCCCCGTTTCCTCTTCCACTATGACTGTCGAGTTAGACAAACTCCAATAAGACAAATTTTGGAAATAGCACCGCCTCAGCGCCGCCTTCCATTCATCTGCCCTTTATCACCATTAATATTATTTATCTTTCCGCGCCTCCGCGTCGCTCTAGCGCGTCAATCCATCACAGAGTTGCCAGGTCTACTGATTTCGTCTGTAAGCTACAGATCTACCGATTTAAACAAAAGTCTAACAATATGTTCAACTGCGTCTTTAGCCTTTACAATAGAAGCACTTTTAAAAATCTGACACATTTGGACTAAAAATTAAGCGACTATCGCGTCGTAAACCGTACCTATAACCTAAAATTTTGTTTAGAAATTATAGGTCATCGTTCTGTCTGGTCGCAGAATTACGGAAACATTCGCAAAAATTCTTATTATTCCTTATGGCATTTCCAAAGATGATATTTTTAGAAAATATTTTGTCTCGTTCATCTACTAAAGTTGAACCCGCATTTCACCTCCCAAAAAATAAACAAAGAACAAAATCTAAGTTCAGAAACAAACTAAATACAGACAAATATTTTTGTGCTTCTTTTATACACCCAGACCTGCAACAAGTCCCCAAGGGGCAGCAGCAGCACTTAAATCTTAAGTCTTAAGTCATTTCAAAAATCAAAACGATTTAAATCTTAGTCCAATTCAACATAAAGTTTAAACAATTTAAATCTTAAGTCTGATCAGTATAAATCGATAATAAATCAAAATAATTACCGTCAAGTCAAGACAGCGTAAATTCAATTTAAGTACCTATTTTGTAATGTTAATATAATTTTTTTATCTCTATATTTATTTATTTATTTATTTACAGGAAACCCCATTACATTACAAAATTTACAAAACAATATTAAAAAAAAAGAAAAAAAATGTCTTTTCTTTTTCTTTCACATCGTATAAGGATACTTAAAAACATTAAAAAATAATACAAAAAAAAAACAATAAACACTTATAAGAGAAGAACGGTACAGTAAAAAGAAGAATTAACACACCCATCAATCACCACTCCCATTTCTAATCTTCCTCCTAAATGCCCAGTAAGAGTCTTTAAAAATGTCAGCATCATGAAACTTGTTCAGAGAATTAAGTGCCTTTGGAATTGGAGAGTGCTTTCCATAATTAGTGCCATGCAAAGGAATAAAGAACAAATCATTAATTCTCAATGGCCTAAATGGAACTTTGAAATAAATTTGTCTAAGTATCTCAGGACAGTCATATACGCCATTAACAATCTTATAAAAAAAAGAAAGATATAGATTAATCTCCTTTTGTCCAGAGTCTCTAAGTTTAATTGGTCTAAGTTGATAATGTAACTATATTCTTGATTGTGTCTGAAAGCGTAATACCTTACAAACTTCTTTTGAACCCTTTCTATTGATTTCTTAGATACATCGTATTGAGGATTCCATATAACAGATGCATATTCTAAAATTGATCTCACCAATGAACAATATACTATCTGCAAAGCCTATACCAACAAGTCTTTACAGTTTCTCAATACAAAACCCAGTGTTTTTAAAGCTTTATTTGCAATTATATTAATGTGTTCATTAAAAGGAAGAGAACAATCAAAGATTATACCCAAGTCCTTGACAAAATCCACCCGTGTCAAATGAACATGATTCAAATCATAATCAAAGAGAATCCCTGGTGATCTTTTTTTGGAAAAACTTATAACTGAACATTTACTAGCGTTTAGGGAAAGGCCGTTCACCTTACACCAGTCACCCATTCTATCTAAATCTCTCTGTAAAAGTTGGCAATCATTAACATTAGAAACAGCCCCATAAATTTTCATATCGTCGGCAAACAACAAGCAGGAGGAATTACTAACACTCGACACAATATCATTTAGATATAGATTAAACAGTAAAGGGGAACAATACAATAAAGGGGAACAATTTTCTTTTATTACCTACCGATTGGCTGATCTTGGCTCCCTTATTATCTATATTATTAATTTATTGTTAATAATTTTCAAAATAACTTCAAACACAAAAATATGTTTTTTTTTTATAAAATTTAACAGATTTTGTAGTATAGTACGTCTGCTGGTTCTGTGTCTATGAAAGGAATGCGGACAAAAAATATTTAAATAAACAGCAATTTATTTTATACGTCGACTTAACGAGTACGTCACCGCAAATGGCTCCGCCCACTCATTTTATTGGCTACTTGCAAATTTGTTGAATTTTTATTGATATAAGAGCTCGCAGGCATGGAACATTGTAAAAATAGCAAAAAAACAAAACTTAAGACTTAATATAAAACACACATAAATACACTTAAATAAGGAAAAAAACTAGAATAACACTCGACAACAAAAAAATATAAAATGTATGTTTCGAAAATCATTGTTCAGTTTAAATAATAGTCCAAAGTTCTGATACCAGAAATAGATATAATCTTATACCTGGGAAATGCAATTTTACTTATATACAAAAGAATGCTGAGTATTCGATTATAAAAATATTTAATAGTTTCCCGAAGAGTTGCAGGCCATGTCTCATGGAAAGATAAGAACTGTACTAAAAGATTATTTAATCAAAAAGGCATACTATAGTTTGGCCGATTTTTTTCGATTCGCATATCTCACTTTTTAGTGAGCATGTTTGTGTTTGTAGTAATTGTAATGTAGTGGGACTTTTGAGTTAGTTGCTACTACTGTAGTATAGTATATACTATATATATATATATATATATATATATATATATATATATATATATATATATATATATATATATAGTATGGTTAGAACTTTGGACTATTATTTAAACTGAACAATGATTTTCGAAACATACATTTTATATTTTTTTGTTGTCGAGTGTTATTCTAGTTTTTTTCCTTATTTAAGTGTATTTATGTGTGTTTTATATTAAGTCTTAAGTTTTGTTTTTTTGCTATTTTTACAATGTTCCATGCCTGCGAGCTCTTGTAACTTTTGTTAATTGGAACAAATAAATGAATATCTATCTATCCATCTATCTAGGTATGTCATCGAATACATGTCCATTAATATATGATATGTAATAATATGTCGTTGACATAAATTAAGTGCTGGACGATTTTAAGGTACTCATCAATATACTATATTCGAGATCAATTTCTTTCGTTCGTTTTTCGGGCTACATAACAAGATTCCCTTGATTCATTCGAAAGACAAGAGGCTCACTACGGACGCGTGTAAAGATATGGTGTATAGCCCCGTTCTCAGAACGACGCCGTGTCTGGGGCGACACAGTTTGACATTTCAAACAACCAATGGGAGCTGTCAATTTTAAATTATGGTTGGTTAAATTTTAAACAATGGCTCCCATTGGTTGTTTGAAATGTCAAACTGCGTCGTGTCGACAGCGACACTGATTGACACTTCAAACGACCAATGGGAGCTGTACTAAATTTAAAATTGACAGCTGTTTGAATTTTGTACAAATCTCATTGGTTCTTTTGTCGTGTCGCTGGCGACAGTCGCAGTTCTGAGAACGGGGCTTAACACGACAAATAATCAAAACCGTTCTGAAAAACTAGCTTTTTATTTGCTGGTGGTATTGATTGTATGATTGTTTTTTTATCCACTGGCTACCGCCTAACACTTTAAAAAGAAATGTTGCTGTTCAATGTATCTTAAAAATATATAAAATTCGAAGTCGTTTATAAAAAAAGAAATAAATCTTTTAAAAAATTTAAGCCGTTTTTTAATGACTTAATTCTTTTTTATTTCGGAATAAAGATTTAAATCACCAATCAAATTAAAAATGACTTAAATTTGACTAAATTTGAAAAGTCCTATGTCAGCTTTCGAAAAAATAACTTAAAATCAAATGACATAAGTCATTAAAATTATTTAAATCAAAAAAATAATTAAGTTTTCTGTAAGCTTGCAGCTCTGTATACACCATAGTTTATTCTACTTTTTAAGACCTTAAGGTGATACTCATTAAAGAATATGATATATCTTTTCCATGATACACATAAACATGTCTATGTGTATCGTGATCTTTTCTGTGAATTTTAGGTTATTCATCCGTACACTCCCACAGAATGTGATGAACTTGAGCTGAGAACAGGTGATTACTTATATTTAAGCAGTGAGGCCTTGGCAAATTCCCCTGATTGTTGGGTGGAAGGGACATCTTGGTTAACAGGCCTATCAGGTTTATTACCAGAAAGGTAGGTACGACGACGTTACATAGGTACTGCATTTGTAGTCTGTAAAAAGACACTTTTTGTATATATTCTGTTCTCTATTGTTGTTGTAAACACTTTAGAGACTTTATAGTAAAGTTATTTAGATTTCAAAAAAATGTATGTTTAATACAGTTATACAGAGAGGACCGCAGAGTCTGATGCCTGGACCTTACACAAGAAAGTGTCAATAAACAGTGTGACACCTACTGCAAATCCAAAGCAAGTTGAGCTTAAATCATCAGGTAAAATCAAAATTATTTTACAGTACTTTTGAACTTTCTGTTGGATATTTTTTCCTTGGTAAAATATTTCTTTAACGTGCAGATGTATGTATTATATAATTGTTTAGTTCATATATCAAATAAAATTTTAGTCACGTGATTAAGCTTGACTGGCACAGCGTTACCCTCTTTTACATATTTTCTTTTAGTCAAAATATTTTAGAAAACAAAATTAAATTAATTATAAATATATAAACAATTATTATTTACATCGACAAAACTGACCTCCTTAACAGCACATAGGGACATAAAGGGCCATTACTATTGCTTTCCCGTTTAAAATATTCTAATAAAGTTGCGATCAGTTTTTTACGGCTATTAAGCTATCTTGTACGCACTAAAAGAGGTTCTAAAAACAAAATGTTCGACTGCAAGGTCTGCTAGTAAACATTTTTAAGCTTAAAATATCACAACACTTTATTTAAACCAAAAACTCATAATACAAAACTAAAGTGTCAAAACGAATGACAATGTCAGGGAATAAATAAATAAGTGTGGCAACTTAACAATTTTTACAGCAGAGCTACCACCTGAATCCCCAGCAGGAAATTTAAATTCCAACAAGTCAGCCCGGCGGCGGCGCGGCGCCGAGTATATCCATGGTTGGGGACAATGAATTTAAAAATCGCGCCCTCATTTACGTAACTAAGTTTAATTGATATCAAATATATGTTTAGAGCTCAATATTTTTCTAATTCTACAAGAAAAAAATGCTCTTTGGTCTTTGAAAAACAGGTTATAATGAAATTGTATATTTTAGGTGCATCTTCTGCATCAAATTCTAGTATTGAGCCGTCAGTATTAAATAATGAAGAGGTTTCAGCACCTTCACCGCCTATAGTACAAGAGATTGAGATGGAATTGGGATCAATCAAGGAGAATTTTTATGAGAATCTCATTGACATTCAAAGACACATAATGGCAGAAGTTAGTCTCAATTTTTATAATATAATTTAATCACGATACACATAAACACGTATGTCCGATAATAGGACGCATTTTAGTCAAGTCCGCGCATGTGCGTCATCTGCGCTGCAAGCCGATACAGATGGCCGATGCGACACATAATATTTTTAAACGCTGCGTCTAGCTGCCTGTTCAAACGATATTTGCATTTAAGCATCGAGTTTATTTTTTTTAGTTATCTTCAAGAGACGCGTGCTAGTAAATATTAGAGATTTGTTAAGCTGTTGTTATTAATAACAATTATAGCCCAGACTTTATTTAAAAATGGTGCTGCGACCGGATCGAAAAACTGAACGATCTATACAAATGTTTACGTGTATCGTGAATTGAATTATATTATGTAGTTATATTACTATTTTTTCAGGATGTTGTAGGGGAACCGACATATCGTAATGTCTTTATTATGAGACATGGTGAGCGTATAGATTTCACTTTTGGCAGTTGGGTACCTTATTGTTTTGATGAGACGGGCAATTATGTTAGAAAAGACTTAAATATGCCCAAATTATTACCAGAACGAAAAGGTATTTATGTATGTATAATGTAACATTTTACTAAAATAAATACTTACAGGTGGTCAAAAAGCTTATGCCAAAGATTCTCCTCTAACAAACATGGGAATGTTTCAAGCTAGATTAGTGGGGGAGACACTCAAAGATCAGAATATTACCATTGATCATGTTTATTGTTCGCCATCTTTTAGATGTGTTCAGACGTGCGACTCGGTCTTACAAGGAATGCACAGGTAAAAATATTTTTTTTTTCACCCTTTTCGACCCTTTTCGACCGTTTAACCCTTAGCACTTTGTCTCTTATTATACTTATCCAAGAATCTCTCTAAAGATTTCAGTAAAACAGTAAAAATGAGAATAGGTTTATCTGTGAATATGACTTTGGTGTTAAGTCTGATACCTTGGCTACTTTAGGAAGAAGATGACTAACCTTTTGCCATCTTTCCTTTGAGAATTTTATATACCGGGTGCGTCTCAAAAGTGGCTCAATCCTATAACTTTTTTTTATTTTTTTAGATAAAAAACGAGATTTGGTATGTTAGTATATGACAAATTAGGATTGATTTACGTATTCAATTGTTTTTGGTCTCTTCCTGTTTCACCGGAAATGACTACAACTTTTGATTTTTAAATGGCACCCTCGGTATTTTTTTACTTTGTTCAATAGAAAATTACATTCTGAATAGAATGACATATCATATGTCAACTTTTGATATTCTCGCTTAATAAAAATCGTATTTTAAAATTCAATCTAGAGAGTCATGGCTATGTTAAAAACACTAATTCTTAATCAAGGAGCATTGGAAAAATAGATTTAATCATCTAATGTTTTAGTGTCTTGTCCTGGCCAGTTAGAAAATAAAAAAAAAAATAAAAAATTATCAAATCGTATTTTTAATCATATCTCAATTTTTTCAAATGGAACGAGGGTGGCTCATTAGCATATTTGGAAAAAGCATTTTTTACGAATAATTTGATACCACACACTTACGAACCGCAAGTTATAATTTCAAATCAACCATATGCGAAAATGTCAAAAGTTGACATATGATATGTCATTCTATTCAGAGTGTTATTTTCTATCGAATAAAGTAAAAGAGATACCGAGGGTGACATTTAAAAATCAAAAGTTTATGTAGTCATTTCCGGTGAAACAGGAAGTGACCGAAAACAATTGAATACGTCAATCAATCCTAATATCTGGTTTTTTTAACTGAAAAAATAAAAAAGATAGGGGTGAGCCACTTTTGAGACGCACCCGGTATATGAGCCATTAATACCTCAATTCCCATCTGTAATACTATGGGATATATGCAGTGGCGTAAACTAGAAATTTTAGGCACCCCCGCAGTTAGATATATGCCGTCTGTCCCTGGAGTTCTGTAAGGCTGAAATCTCGGCTGAAATTAAAATATAAGGGGTATAAAAAAAATATTGATTACCTACCTAATTCTACTTGGTCTGGTGACTTCTGTGGCAACTTTCCTAAAGACCTTGGCCTGGCGATCCTTGGGTCTACGTTATGTGGTTATTTCCTTGGTTATTTCCAAGCCTGCTGGACACCGGTTTTTTTCGATCATACAGTATAAAATAATAGTGACCTGCAACAGAATCGGTCGCTATGCGCGCAGTGATGTCAAATCTGAAAAAAAATTACCAAAATTTAGAGAAAAAAAAATTATAATAATTACTTATGCAATTTTATTTATTATTATACCAATTTTTTGCCTACTCTGATCTGATAAGCACTGCACGCCACTGGTGACAGTTGTCTGTCTTTTTAATTCAAAACACAAAACATGCCCCTTTTATATGTTTATAAACTAAGTAGTTAATATATGCCGTACGATCGAAAAAAAAACGGCGTCCCTTTGGCTTGGAAATGAAGATCGATGATATTCCCCATATAGTAATTTGTATGTAAAATACATAAAAATGACAGCGATCTTCATTTCATAGCCATCGCTGACGGTGTTTTTTTTTTCGATCATACACTATAATTATATGCCCCCTTTAGAACTTCATCTGTCATGTTAATAAATACAGGCAGTCCTCGATTTACGTCGTTTCGTGTTACGTCTTTTCGAGTTACGTCGAACAAATTTTTGTCACTATTCCTCAAAGTTACGTCCCACTGTTTCGAGTTACATAATTTTTTGAAAAGAACGATCCCAATTTTAAAAGAAGTTTGGACATAAACAATAAAATTTTAGCAACATACAAACAGGGTTGACAGATCCTCATAACGAAAAAGCGGGACAGTGTTGATCATTACTTAATTAACAACTATTACGACTTTTGACGATACCCACAATAAAAGTTCCAACCAAAAAATAAATATATACTTTCTAAATATGTCTACTTTACACCCTGGTATTTCTGTAGTTGCCATATTAGTATATGTATTATATTTACTATTATATGGATAGTTAAAAATACTTTTTTGATTATATAATGAAAAAGCCGGGACTGTAAAAATACTCGCCCTAATTTGTTTTTCATAAAAAATACTTTTTTTATATTTTTGTTTTTTTTTTCGTTTTTTCTTGTTTCTTGTATTATTATAAGTTTAACTACATTACAATACACTGTTTCTCATACCTCAATTATTTAAAAATACAATAATATTAATATATATAAACGCACATCTCTTTGTTTTACCGTATTTTTATCTCACAAAAGTACCTAACTTCTCCATTTTCTATAGCATCTTATGACAAAATAAGATTCGACTTACGTCGTTTCGACTTAAGGCGCTATTTTGAAGAACCTAACCTGCCGTAAATACGAGGACTGCCTGTAAAAGTAAATGAAGCGCCAACTCGTGTTTATTCGCAATCAAAATTTCAATTAATAGTTGTATTTTTAATATATTTTTAAAATTTTCATTTTTTTATAATATATTAATTATATTTGTATAATATATTACATTTAAATGTAATAAACATGGTATATATTACATAACGATTATGTCAATTTCAGGCTTGTTTTCTAACATTTTTTAAATTAAACGAATTATAAAATTTCAATATATTTTATGTATATTTGTTGTAGGTATGAAAAATGGTAAAATATAAAATAAACAAACACTTACTTACATTAGAATAAAACTGCCACTTTTTTTTACGCCACGTTTTACAATACAAACTGAACATTTCTTTTTCACAAATATCCTTCTAAAAGCATTGAAACTTTTTGTTATCAAGATGACCTTTTAGACTGCAACTGACGTTAACAACTTATTGTATATGACATATTGAATTTAAGCAATATGTCAAATCAATATGTCATAATATTTTAATTTTAAATGTGTATGTAATGTAATTTAGATTAATATAAAGCAACTTTATACTAAGAAATCATTTAACATTCACAAAATACAACGAAATCTAATAATACAGTTCGGAAACAATGGAAATTGAACTAAAATTATAAAAGTTAAGCGCTACCCGTTGTTCAAAATTAGACTATTAAACGTTCGCAATTTTCATGACAAGTGGTGCCTCTAGTGTTTGTTCGCACGGTTAGCCTTTTACTCCGGCTTATAGCCATTAAAGAAAAAGTTCTAAAGGGGGATGTTCTGTGATTTGTGATTCAAAAATAAATTGGATTTAACGTCCTCATTTGGATGTTGTCTGTTGAAATTTTCACTGACTCGGACAGACTTTAGAGGGAATTACCACCCATACCGGTAACATGTTCATTGATTTTTTTATTTTAAATTTATTTCCAGTCCAATATAATGTTATTTTTACTTCTTCAAGAAAGAATGAACTGCTGATCAAAATTGAACCAGGGTTATTTGAATGGATGGCATGGTATCCTCCAGAAACAGTGCCAGATTGGATGACACCAGAAGAATTGACCAAAGCAGGCTATAATATAGACGAAAATTACGTTGCTATGGTATCGGAGCAGGAAATAAAAGACAGCCGAGAAAATTGTGAACAATTCTATCTCAGAAGTGCCTTTGTAACCAGAAGTATGTGTTAAAAGCCTAGTTCATATATCTTTAATTAGGTGGATAAGTAAATAACTAAAAGAGCTGTCCCAAACATATCACCAATAGTCTGTTAATCTTATTTCTTTATTGCATGCGTGGTACTGCTACTCGTCTACCCTATGGAGTGTAGAGATGAGGAGAAACATCTCTATGAGACATTATTTGAAAAAGTGGTCACAAAAATGGGAAGAATAAAGCCCCGTTCTCAGAACTGCGTCGTGTCGACAGCGACACTGATTGACACTTCAAACGACCAATGGGAGCTTTACTAAATTTAAAATTAAAGCCCCGTTCTCAGAACTGCGACTGTCGCCAGCGACACGACAAAAGAACCAATCAGATTTGTACAAAATTCAAACAGCTGTCAATTTTAAATTTAGTACAGCTCCCATTGGTCGTTTGAAGTGTCAATCAGTGTCGCTGTCGACACGACAAAAGAACCAATCAGATTTGTACAAAATTCAAACAGCTGTCAATTTTAAATTTAGTACAGCTCCCATTGGTCGTTTGAAGTGTCAATCAGTGTCGCTGTCGACACGACGCAGTTCTGAGAACGGGGTTTTAAGCCCCGTTCTCAGAACTGCGACTGTCGCCAGCGACACGACAAAAGAACCAATCAGATTTGTACAAAATTCAAACAGCTGTCAATTTTAAATTTAGTACAGCTCCCATTGGTCGTTTGAAGTGTCAATCAGTGTCGCTGTCGACACGACGCAGTTCTGAGAACGGGGCTTTAAGGGTTCACACAATAACCACAGAGGCGCTAATGATACTTAAATCTTAAATTAAATCTAAAAAATGAAAAGTAACCATAGATAAGAGAATAAAAGTAACATAACCAAACATTACCCAAAAAAAGCTTCGTTTTTATTTTTTAGAATATAAAACAATTGTTTGTATATGTTAGAGGCCCAATATATTGCTACTGAATAAAAATCGATAATTTATTTCATGTGCCATGAAAATAAAATTGATACTTTTTTGAAACCCGCGCCTTCACGTCAAATATTTATCTCTTCTTGAATCATTTCCTGTTCTAAAATTGTTCGGCGCATATTTTAAATTTTAGGTATTTGTTATAGCAGCGCCATTCTTAAGTCTTAGCTTTTTTATGACCATCTTTTAATGCACGAAGATATTTCTCCTTACCTCTACACTGCATAGTCTACCCTTGTCCAGGAACTATCGTCCATGCGCCAAATTTGAATATGAATTTTAAAAATTGATATACAAATATAGATATTAGATTTAAGTGCATATTTTTTCCTTAGGTGCGTTATCGTCTGACCCAAGGGGAAATGTGTTATTGGTTGGTCACACAGCGACTTTGGACACCTGTTCAAGAGAATTAATAGGAAAAAAGCCCAGATCAGGCAGTGAAATGACTAAAGTGATTCAGAAAATTCCTTACTGTAGTATGGCGCTAGTAAGGGGTAAGGAGGATAAGTGGGAGCTTCATGAACCCCCTTGTTTGCCTTTGACGCACTCTGTTAATCAGAGATTCGATTGGAAGGTTCTTCTGTAGGAAAACTATGGGTTTTTGTTGTTTTTCAAGGATTAAAGAGATTAAGTGTACAAGCATTATTTTCTCAAATTATCAGTCTTGTTTTAAGTTAATTTGTACAAATTATAATTATTGTTGTTTATAACTTAATATTTAATGTAAGCTGGGATGTTTATGTCCTACATAATCAAAACTTATATATTTTCAGCAATATTCAAAATATTTCAGATTTTATAAAAACCAAAGCTTCTTTTTATATTTACATAATATGTGAAAAATATATTGAAAGAAAATAAACACTTATTAACTTAAGAGTTTTTTATTTGAACACATATTAAAATCCTTTTAATATATGTGAAGGTAAAAAATCTATACATAGAATTAACAAAAATAATTCAAAGGTGTAAATTGATTGTTTTAAATATATTTTACCAATTATTGTTACTTTTTATCATTCCAAATAAAAATATAATATTATTAACAGTGTCCTTTTTCTTTTAATTTTGCTATTAAAGTATCCACATCAGGTACAATTTGTCCAGCTTGTCTTGTAGGTGGATCCTCAACACTAATTATTTTAATTCTTGGTGTGGTATCAACTCCCAAATCTTTTGGACTTAATTTTTGTATCGGCTTCTTTTTAGCTTTCTAAAAGAATACATAGGTCACACACAGAATTTTTTTGATATTCTTAAATTATTTACCATTATATTTGGTAAAGTAGCATATCTGGGTTCATTCAGTCTTAAATCGGCACTAACAATGGCTGGAAGCTTTAATGTAACAACTTCATGCCCTCCATCGATGTCTCTTGTTACTGTAACATCTTTTTCTCCTTTCTCTATCTATAGAAACAAAATTCTGTTATAATACTACCAAATTAATGTTTAGTCTACAGATATACCTTGGAAGCAAATGTTGCTAATGACCAGTCTAAAAATCCTGAAGTCATTTGGGCTGTTTGATTACTATCATCATCAATTGCCTAAATAGAATGCAATTGCTGTGATTTTAAGATATTCTATTTAATAATAATTAATTTCTTTGTACCTGCTTTCCTAAAATGATCAGGTCAATCTTCTCATTTTGGGCTATTTTAGCCAGGATTTTTGACACATGAATTGGTTGCAAGGTTTCATATTCAGGTCCAGAAACTTCAACATGAATCCCTTTGTCTACACCCATTGCAAGAGCAGTCCTATGATTAGTTAGGGAAATCTTAGGAAAAAACTTGCTATATAGCTATTTTATTACCTGAGTGCTTCCTGAGACTGGGCAGGCCCGCATGTTATGGCTATAATCTCAGATGCCAATTTCTTTTCTTTCAGACGTACTGCCTCTTCTACGGCTATTTCATCAAATGGGTTCATGGAATGCTTTACCCCATCTGTTACTACACCAGTTTTATCAGGTTTAACTCTGATCTAAAACGATAAATGCAATTATTACAAGTTTACAAGTATCCTATAACTTCTTATATTAAGGTCATGTAATACACAATAAAACAACTAATTTACCTTTACTGCATAGTCAATAACTCTTTTCACACCTACTAGTACCCTGGCCATTTTACTTCAAAAAGTGGGATGGTAATAAAATTAAGATTTCTGTTTAAAACTGAACTTTGAACTGTTTATTTGAAATTGGAACTTGCACCTCAAACCGTTTAGTCTTGGTCCCACTTTGCCCGTTACATAAAATCTAGTGAAAAACTTATAATTTTAAATATTTTTTTTACAATTATAACAAACGTTAATAGTAAAGGGTAATACGCATAGATAAAACGACGGCTACAATTATGAGAATGGCCCAGTAAAACAAAAACCACCAAACACAAAAAAAAATAATCTTCAACAAAGATAAAACAGTAATTATTGGCACTGTTATTGGTAATGGTAATTATCTACAACAACCTTGAACTATAACCTTGAACTCAGTCAGGGTGCAGCCACACTATCCTAAAAACGGCGTATCGGCGTAACGCGTAACGACCTTGAATAGATTTCCAGTAATTCTATTGGCTGAAACATTCATCTGTCAGAAATTTTATCTGTCAAATTCATCTGTCAAAAATTTCAGCCAATAGAATTACTGGAAATCGATTCAAGGTCGTTACGTCGTTACGCCGATACGCTGTTTTTAGGATAAGGTGGGTTCATACCAGAGAAATAGAAGGGATAGAGAATGAGCTTCAACATGCGCGAAAGGTCTAATCAAGTTGGGCGCCATATTCCAGGTCTCCGTGTCATTTTGTATATAGGTGGTAATCTATAAGTAATCAAATATCAATTTGATGTTTTCAACCATACGGGGGGCAATTTAAATTTAGTGAAATTCTATCATTTATTATGGTTAGTTAACATTAGATATGTGTTATTTAATTATCACTTTCAAAACTGCGTACAATATTTGTATATAATCACTAAATATAAACATATTCTGACAAAAGACGCTACGGACAGATGACCTTTTCGTCGTTAAACACTCGAAATGCCATTAAATAAAGTATTTAAAATTAATTTCATGTTTTACTTGTACTGAATACGCGTTTCAATTTTGAAATTTTGAAATTTGGTAAAAATTGTTTCTAAACAACTATTTTTTTCAAGTTGTATATTCATAAAAACATTTTTTTTTTTTTTTTTTTTTTTTTTTTTTTTTTTTTTTTTTTAATTATAAACCTAGAAAAAATAATGTTTTTTTTTATTTTATTCATTTTATTCGTCATTATACTGCAAAAAAATAAAAAAAAAAAAAAAAAAAAAAAACAAATATTTTTATAATATAATAATTATTTGAATAAATTAGTGGTTTGCAACAGCTTGCGTTATTAGTTAGTTCTATCCTTTTTTGTCGGACAAAAAAAACTCAGGTCTTGTAATAGACATCAGATTTTATTTCGTAATTATTTTGATACAAATTCAAATTTGTCAAAATTCAAGTCATTATATATCTGATAAACAACCAAATTATTCCTAAATATTTTATTATAAAAAAAAACTGTTACTGGTAAGTTTGTAAAACACATTATCGTTTGTCTTAATACTACAAAAAATAAATGTAATTTGTGCACAAAAGAAGCTTGTCGATCCTTATTTGTCTATACCAAAATTCTGTATTGACAACAATATATACCTAATTATATAAGAAAATTAGATTTTTAAATAAAAAAAAAAAAATTTTTTAAATAAAATATTTTTTTTTTTTTTTTTTTTTTTTTTTTTTTTTTTTACTTATTTTAAAAAACATGGGGATTGACCAATCCCTGATTAAGTTTCATTGCATCAAATACCTTTGCTATAAAACCTGGCTCACAATTTAAGGTCATTGCAAAATGCTTTTGAGCTTCATCATAGATTTTACAAGAATAAAAGTGTAATATTGAAACAAAGTAACATTGTAAGCTTCATGACTAATAATCTCATTTTTAACACTCTTTTAAATATCATCTCTGCTAATAATTATGAATATTATATGATTTTTCTCAGTGATTTGTACTGATACAAATGCCCTATAACAGTTTTAAATGTTGTTCTGCCCACAGATTTAATTTTCTTATTGGCATAATACTCTTTCTTCCTATATAAATCTTGCCATTTTCTCAGTCCAATGTTCCTTGTTTTACAGTTGTAGGAATAATTAAAAATGTTGACTATAGAACTAACTCGATACTATGTTTGAAAAAGACTTCATACCTGTAACTGTGCAAAAATCTAATTAACTGAATTCTCCTCCTCTTGACACTCTAAACACGGCTGCTGCTAATGTTAGAAATACTTAGCACAAAACTACAACTACCTACAACAAACTTTACAAATAAAAAGCAGTACCTCGTCTCGATTAAAATAATTCTATCTTATGTTTTTTCCTCCAAATAATCTTCTTGTCATTAAGGACCAATCTTATTTGATATATTTCTGGTCACTTGAACTTGTGCTTTCATGGACACTATAAGAGGGCACTGTTTTACAGAAGCATGAACATTGATTCCAAGCATCTTCTTCCTCCACACGTAATAAAACATCCTCTTTAAATGGCCACATCATACACTCATTTTTGACCATTTCCAATTACAATCACGATTCTTACAAATCGCCTTTAGAAAACTAAAAATAAACAGTTTTGAATCATCTGTAAACACAATACGTAACTGAACGAAGTAATACTGAGAACAAAAAATCCAATGAGTAATGAGATAGAAGTGTCTAGCTAATAGGGAACTATTAAGCAATGAAATCAGGTTGATTGGTTATTTGGTGTGTGAATTCATTTGTGTTTGTCAAAAATTCTAACATGATTGGTCGGGCTTAATAGTTTGCCTGGGCTAAGTTAATAAGTTTAAAGAAATTCAAACAGCTGTCAATTTCAATTTATACACCGTTGGATTCTTTGAAGTGTCAAGCCAGTGTTGTAATAGCGACTAACGTCTTCTCAGGCCGGCATCCCAAGTATCGCCAGCTACAGATGCGACACCAAACGACCAATGAGAACTGTACTAAATTTAAAATTGACCAATGTTTAATATTAAAATCCCTATTGGTTTTTTTGACGTGTCGCTCGACAATACAAAGTTCTGAGAACGAGGCTGAGAATCATGCAACGTCGTTCACCAAGGCAAACTAAAATATCTATATTTTTTCTTTTTCTAAAATACATTTTAATTATACATGGTGTTCCTAGATATCATGTATGTATTAAACTAGGTGATTTTTTGGCTTTGGCTTTTAAAGGTGAGTCAAAAACCTACTTTTATAGAAAGTTTGATATCTTGAAAGCCATACAATTTGAGACCTATCTTTACATGAACTTTTTGATCATAAAATTAAAAATGAAAAAAAAAAAAAAAAAAAAAAATATATACAGGGTATCTTATTTTGGTTGAGACTGGGTTTTTTGGTTATTAGTGGATTATGTCCATATATAGAGCTGAACCAAAACAAGACACCCTCTATATGACATTTGAACACCCTAATATAATTATGTAATAATTCCAATAATTCTTTTATTGGAATTCTATTTCTATTATTTAACTATTTAAAGTGATTAAAAATGAGTATCTCGATTTATTTCCATATATATTGATTTTTATTTGTTACATATAATTGTACTGATGTTTGTTGGGTATCTGCCAGTGGGTTTTAGTAGGTTGTATAGTGTATGATGTATAGTGTATATGGTTGCATGATCTCTGGTATTTTGTATTTTAGCAATATCAGAATCATGGTGTTAGCATGGCATATTGTGTTATTCATAGATGAAGAGAGGGTGGAGACCTTCCCAAAATGTTGGGTGATAAACAATAACTTGGGTTACTGGCCTAACACAAAAAAACTTAGTACTATAACAGCATTAATTAGGGGCTGCTCTTTGCAAAGGAACCTGGGATCTTGTAAAAGGAAATAGAATAATTGGAAAGAATAAAATTTATGGTACAGGTTTACACTAGCAATATTTTGTTAAATCTATATGTATGGTATATATGTTATGATTAAGGTCTAAAATAAAGCATGTATGTGTGTTAATCTCAATATTACCTGGTTAATATCACAACATAAAGGAAAACAAACCAAACAAAAAAAAAAAAAAAAAAAAAAACAATATTATAATAATTAATATCAATTATTGATATTAACTCCATTTTAGACTTTAGCCATAACATATATATACAATATACAGAATATATTACTTAGATGATTATTCACAAGCGTCTCGTGCCGCCAGCAAGGCTTGCTTTAAAACTGACATTGAATCTACTGACTGCGACGAAAATATTCAAACTAATTCCTCAAAGGGTAGACCAATCATCCGGAATAAAAGATATTTAATCTCAGACGACGATATGGTTGAATCAAGTGACAGTGAGGTTGAAAGTAGTGCCTCCTCATTGAAGTCAATTCCATCTAAGCCTTTGACAGGTACCTATCTGTTTTTATATTTATCTGCAATTAGTATACAGGCTGTAAATAAGTGTAGGAAATGAATTCAGGTGTTATGGCATGCCTAATGTTTAGGGCATGTATATTCATATGAAATATTTTCTTAGAGACGCCAGGAAGTAAAGAGATATCTATATTTTTCACATTTTATTTACACCCTGCATATTTATGGACAGCCTCTTTTTTTACATTCTGCATTTTTAGGTAAGAAACTAAAACAAGAAAGGCAGATAGCTAGGAGCCAAGACTTCAGGCAAGAATCTGCAACTTCTCAAGAGGATACTCTTTTTAGAAATAGAAATGAAAGAGGTATTGTTATTTTTTTTAATATTACTACTATAGTAATAGAAAAGTTTTCTATTTGCACTATTTGATCACTTACTTACTTGATGTTTTTATATCAGTTTTCTTCAGATTATGCATACTTCTAATCTGTTTCAGACTCCACTTCAAAAATTAGAGAGAAAGAGCCAATTAATAGAGAGGCACATGGCAAAAGCTATGAAGGTAAGGTGCTTTCAAGTAACATTTATTTTGCGTTTCATTCTAGATCTTTAGAAGTCAATGGAATTTTATTAAAATATTTAGTTTAGAGATATTAATAAAAATGTGCTCTAGAATTTCATATTTAACGCTATTAACCAAGGGTATAGCAGAGGACACTACCCTCATAAAGTTACAAATGGAAAATTTACAGATATCAAATCCATCGCAAGCTACCCCTAATGAAGAAGTATATAACTTTCCATTCGACAACACTGATTCATTCGAGGAGTTTGAAAAAACCCTTGAAAAGAGGGAGGCATATTCAAATTTCGTAAGTTGGCCTTATTTAGTATATACCAGAAGTTTAATGTATTATAACTTTATAGATATGAAGAAATTGTCAAATACATGACAGATTTTTTTTTCAGGTAATTTATTCACGTATGATTAGAGTCAGCTTATGAGTTCATTAAAAGGGTTATGGGTCGCCTGGTGACAGATGAGGTAGCAGCAAAATATTCTTTTACAGGCC